GAGTTGGAGATCCAAATGGTGTGGGCTCCAGAGTTCTGCCAGTCAGAGATGAGTGTGTAGGTTTGTCTGGGAACAAGAGCAGGAGGTCACAAAGGCAAAGATCCAAAATCCAAAAACACATCAAATCTCAAAAATCCAAAATCCAAAAAACAAATATAATTCTCAAGAGTTTACAGAGCTCGAATAAGTTTCACAAGTGGCTGTTAGAAGGTACCCAGGTAGAGTAATCATCCAGCGAAGTGTAGGAGTCTCCCAGCTGCTTAAATACCCCTGGCCAGCTGATGAGCAGATCTGCTGCAGCTTGGTCACCTCCAGACACGCCCACCTGCAGAGGGAAACTCAAAAAACAGGGAGTGACAGCAGGGAAATACCTCAGACCGTGACAATTTGCACTAGACACTAAAGACACTTAATGCTAAAGTCACACGACACATTGCCTTTTGTGTGACCCAATCAGAACCTTTGTTTCTGGGGCTAGGCGTGGTTTTCTGTGGTGTTTGTATAAACCCTCTTTTGCATGTCAAATTCTGATTCACCAGTGAACCAAAATATGACAATTATAAAAACTATCCCACGCCACCTTTTCTTTAGTTCAAGCGTTCTAGAGAAGTCTCGGACAGGCCATCCGGACTTCCTCTTCAGCCATAAAGAACCTTGACAAGCTGGATAAAATCTGTTGCAAGTTACACCTGACCGCAACGTTCCTTCAGAATAAAAGCTGAACCTCACAACCCCTTCAGGGTCTTGCGTTTCATGTGTGTTATAAATCTCCTACTAAAATTTAGAGTGAAACATTCACTCCCACTCAGAACTACTGCCTCTCTGGATCCGCTGGCTCTGATAATAATATTCCACACACACCATCATCATTCATCACGTCTCACTCCACCTTAGTTCCATCAGCACACAGAGTGTTTAAGTTAGTCTTGTTTAAATTGTGTAGAAATAAATTTCTTAACTATTTTAAACCTGACTCTCTCTCTTTCCTTGGAGTTAATACGAAGCATCGCTTAATCCCTGCAGTAAAAAGTTCCGATCTTCTGGTTAAAATATTCAAAGATCCATCAGATTGATATTTCATGTTTCTATGGAACCTCACATTCTATGGTTCATAAGTAAGATGTAAACGACCCTTTCTTTACAAGTGGGTGGGGAAAATCAGCCTGTACATCGTAGGGCTTTATTATGGGATTGTTTTTAACCCTTTATTAGGGCTCTTGTGTCACTTTGAGCCACAACAATGTTTCATATGTTATATGAAGGCCCAAAGAATAATTTCCAGTTTTAAAAAGTTCCTTGATCTCGGACATCTTTAAGCATGTATAGGTCGGTGTGTTGCGGTGGTCTGGGTGTGTGCATGTTTACGCTCATATGCTTCCATGTGAGTGAGTGTTTGTACAAAAGTACTGTGAGGAAACTGTGGGCTGGTGACAGGGCACCATTCAGTCACCCGCCACATTAAAGGAACAATCCTCTGCAAGGGTTTGAGTTTCAATGTTCCCCTTGTGCCAAATACCACAACACTCACCACGAGACAATTTTGTACAGAGTGGCTTTGTTACGCAGACGTTGGCAAGACATGTTCCTCCTGTTTCTCTTCTTCACCTCTCTCACATTGCTTCCTGCTGCTTTATTGTCGGTAGTTATATAGTGAAGCAGTATGGAAACACACATGTGCAGCAATACGGTGACTCAACGTTTAACTTTCCTGTGTCTGGCAGAAGCGTTAACCCATCAGTTTGTTTGCTTTTGCCTTTTATTTTTCAGTTGGATTACTTCCTGTTAAAACAGACAATTAGGTTGAACTTCGGCATGTAGGAAGGGTCTGGTCTTCTGAGACCAGAACGGAAACCTGCATGTACATGTAAGCACAGACTCTCAGCAGACCTCCGTGACTTTTTGTTGATAGCTTGGCAGTCCGATCACAGAGAATCACACACTCTCTTACGCAGGGGTAAGCATGCGCAGACTCACCGTCCTGCAACCTCATCCAGATGAATCCATCACCCAGAACAGCGGACCTTTAATTCTGCTGTTTATCTGGCAGAAGTGCACTTGTTGTTGTCGTTTTTAAGTGCGAGCGCCGTGATGTTGCAGCAAATTTGAAGAATCCTCCTAAACACAGACAATAAAATAAAAATAAAACATTTGCACAATTGTGTGAATTCTCTGAACTGTGTGGTAGCCGCTGTACTAATAGCAGTCCAGTGCCGTTTTGCTTTTTTTTTTAATTAGCGCTTTTGAAACCACTGTTTAGCAGCTTGTATGCTGCATGTAAACGCAGAGCGTCACGCCAGCCTACAACAAAATGTCAAGCGTGAAGTTTTGAAGGATGTCCCAAAATAAACCCTGCAATCATGACTTCCCAACATTAAAAGGATGGAAGCATAAATATTGTGAGGTTTTTTTCTGGTATTGTATGCACAAACACTGCAAGTGTCTTCATACAAAAATGTCCTAAAAACCCCCAAAACAATGTTGTAACTGCAGGCCTGTATGCGGCGCTGTAAGGTTGCCACGGAAATGCAACAAAAACAAGAAAGAGGACGTGGAGTGTGCAGAAATAACTCGCTCACTCAGTAAATGTGATGGAAAATAAGCTTTACGGTAACATATTTTCTAGTAGAACGGATTAGATGTGTCGTCATAATCTAATGTGAGGAGAGGATGTACGGGGTGAACGTGTGTTGGCCCATGCTGCCCCCACGCTCTGGGACTCGCTGCCTGTTACAGTTAGGCAGGCATCCTCTTTGCCTGTTTTTAAGTCTCGTTTGAAGACGCACTTTTATGACGACTCTCAGACAGAGACTCATTTTATCGTTTTACTGTTTTTACTGTTGTGTTTTGTCTACTGTTCTTATTGTTTTTACCTGCTATTTATGCTTTGTTTAGATCCTTATTGCTTTTGTCTTTTTTGTTTTAATCGATCCTGCCTGTTCAGCACTTTGGTAGGACTCTGGGTTATTTAGTCTGCCGAGGCCTTTTATCAAATCAAATGTAAATCTGGGACAGTTACGCTTGCTTTCACTGATCTGTTGGCGGATTTGATTTATTTTAAAGTTTTACAGTATTTTTAGTTATTAAAAGCTGATGCATTAGTTTGGAAGAGATAAAATCAAAGTTATATTAAAGCTGATTTATTTTTCAGAGGCAAAAATAAAAAAAGCTGGTATCTGAAGAGCTTTTTAGGATGTGTGCAGATTTTTTCCCATTTTTGTATTTTATGGATTTTTATATAAACACATCTGCAACATCTTCTTTAGTCCACCAGGTTTTCATTCATTATTTGGACACAAATTTTTTGGGAGCTTGTTTTCCTCGTCATCCTTTTGATTCACAACTTTTCATCTGCGGACCGATTGAAAATCCCCCCCCCCCCACAGGCTTTTCCTTCTTTATTTATTTTGGCCAGTTTGTGTACCCAGAACCATTCCTGCATACTTAGGATTGGTTTTGGGGTTGAGGGAACTTTCCGGAGTGTTTTTTTCTGGGGGGGGGGGGGGGCATTAGTACCAATGTTTTCCAGCACAATCAACAAGCCAGATTCATGCTTCTCCGTCAGCTCCAAAAGGGAGAGACACGCACGCACGGACGGAGATGTTTTGCCCTCGGAGACGTTTTGCTCTCATACTTCTCGTCTCCTGGAGTGTTGCAAAGCAATTCCCTGCCAGGACAACAGAGGGCGTAGCGCTGTTCTGTGGTATCCTGTCATGTATCCAGTCCAAGATAGTGTGTTTATATTGTGTTTTTTGTATTTAAGAGCCTTTTTAACACAGAAAAATTTGTCTCTCATTCTCCTCCACCTCTTCATGCGCTCGCCACCTCTAAACCCACGTTTCCTGTCATTTCCTTCCAAAAATAAAACGCTTGTCACTGCGCATCTTTTCACTCCTCCAGTCACGGGGGAATTAAACGTTCATGTTTTTGGAGTTTTTTCGTGAGGTATTCTTCAAGCTGCTCCGTGTCTGCAGCTTGTTATCCTCGGCTCTCTTTATGTTTTTGAGGGCGCAATGGTGGCGGTGGAGACGACAGCAGTATCCTGACCAATCACAGGCTTGCGCTGTCCAAAGAAAAATTTGGGGTAGCACAGTTGGTTCTTGTGGTAATGCCGGGAGCGTTTAGCCAGTGATGATGCATTGCATTGCTTATTTATTAAAAAATCAATATGTGTTCAAAACACCTAACCCAAATTTGAGAAACACAAAAATGTCAGAAAAATACATTTCAGTTATTTGAAATGTTATTTCCAAATATATTTTAGACATTTTTTTTATTAACCTGTTGCTGTTTTCACAAAACAAAACATCTTTTCTCTGGAGAGCAGTAGAAACATTTAATTTATTACAATTAATTTCAGATATCTTTTTTATTATTTTTTTTTTACTAATTGTATAAAATTTTATTTTGTTTTCCATTTATATCTTGAATAAATAAGAGGAATTTATGGTTTAGTTTAACATTAATATTATTTATTACCACTGTTCTTTAGGGGGACAGCAATTTTTTTAGGGATGGCCATGGCCACCCCTGGCCACCCCGTGGGGCGCTCCACTGCTTTAAACAAAACTTTCTTATGAAAGTCTGCATAAAATCTCACATGAAGCAATCTCAGCAGTCCGTGTTGGTGTTTATATTTAAAATAACCACAGCGAGATGAGCGAATGGCATGGGCTGAATTGTACGATTATCTAAAAGCCACTCAAAGAGGGGCTTGTCTTTTTGTTGATCCCTAACCCAGCAGTCTGGGAGGTGTTTCCATCATCGCTTCAAGCAAAAGCTTCAAAAATCCACAATGGCAACCAAAGAACAACCTCTGGCTTTGATCAATGAGTTGTTTTACCAGATCTTTCATTTTACAAAGCAGCAAGTTTGACTTAAATCTGACTCTGGTGTTGAACAATAGCAGCTTTTTTTATTTATGTTTTGGCATTGAGTGTATGTTCCATCTTTTCTAATTTATTTTCCCATTTTTCTCTTTTCCTATAATTTCTCCCTCCCAGGGCCTTTCATCCATCTTGAAGCTCCCATGAACAACATAACGACCTCTCTGGGTCATACAGCTGACCTTCTCTGCCGTGTCTCAGGGAACCCACCCCCCACCGTGCGCTGGCTGAAGAACGATGCCCCCGTTGTGCAGGAGCCAAGGCGGGTCTCCTACAGATCCATGCCGTACGGATCACGTCTCCGAATTCGAAACCTAGACACTACTGACACCGGCTACTTCCAGTGCGTGGCGACCAACACCCACGGCTCCGTCTCCACCACCGGGGTGCTGTTTGTCAAGTTTGGTGAGAATAAATCAAACCTCTCTGGGATGCAGATGCTCATCTTTTCCTACTAAAGATTTAGTTCCTTATGGCGACTTTCATCCCAGCTGATTTCTCTTTTAGTTGGCTGCAGCAACAGAGAAAAAAACCTGGAAGCAGTATAGTTTATTCTGTAGTAAAGAAAATCTCCTTGTCTTCTTTTCCAGATCCACTCCCTACACTTCTGCCAGGAAGGCCCGCGTAAGTTCCTCAACACATTTCTCTTCCCGTCAGTCAGATCATACAGATGAAGCTGTGGGGAAAAATCAGTTTCTACACAAAGATAAAATATTTGGATTTACAATGGAGTGTGGTTTCTAAAATGCACTGCAATGTTGTTTTCTGTAGCACATTATTTGGTGATGCAAAAAATGTCACTGATTAACAAAAATGTAGTTAATTTACTAATGAATACATAATATACATGCTTTTTTTTTTGCTATGTGGGTCTCTACTGCCTCTATAAACACAGCAAACATGAACCAAACTCTATCCATCTGTTTTCTGTCAGTGTTTGGTTTTATGAATTATGTGCCTAAAACAAGCCATTTCAAGAAGTCCCCATTTATGACATCACAAATGGGGAAAGAAGAATAGAGCATGCCAGAGAGAGCTGCTACTCGTGGAGCAGCATTTCTTCTTTCAGCTGATAGCAGCTTGAGTGGATGCTAGGTGAGCGTGGCCAGCTGCACCTTGATTTCTTAAAGTGACAGTGCACTGAAATGGCTCATTCTGGAAGGTACTAAAAATGCCAAGAATAGCGTTTCAAAAATCGCTTAATGTGAGAGAGATTTAGTCCAAAGAACTTCATGGACATGTTTGGTATCAACCGTAAAACTATTATAACTTAAGAAAAATAGTCATATGTCTCATTTTAAATATAATAAGGACTCAAAACCTCATTAAATAAACTATCTCGTTTCTACATTCAATCATTTTTGTAGTTTTTAGACTGCACTAAACCCCCAAAACATAAAACGCATAATATTAATGTTCTAAATAAAAGCACAGGTTCTTCTGTGGCTCACTTGTAAAGTAACACAAATCTTGAAATCCCAAAATCCCAAATTGGTTTTTGTTTCATCTTGATTTAAATATTACATTTATCTGAACTTTTAAAGGTAGAAGCAGTTTTTTAAAAGTGTGGTTCACTGAAAAAAACATTTTAAATGATTATTTCTTATTATGATCAGCCTCTGAGTTTTTCATGCAGGCTAAACATGAAAATAGTCTCCTACACCTATCCTCTGCATTAGCTTCTGATAGAAAATATATAGTGAGACTCTAGGATTAGAAAAGCCTGACAGATCCGTCACACTGTGACTTTACATTCATGGACTCACCCATCATGACTCCCAACGGGGTTTAGCGTCCAGGAAACAGCAGAGAACATCTCAGCTAGTAGAAGCTAACTGTTAGCATTAGCAACTCCACCGCATGGCATTTGCTATAGTCCTGAATTTACTGTCATTATATCCAAAATCAAAATAAAATGGTGAATGAGCACTTGGTTTTTCTCTTTTTGTTTTTAACCTTCTTGACCTGAAAGAATGATGGCTGGTCTGTGGTGTAAGGGGAGAGTTCATTGCATATTTACCTTTTTAAATGTTTTGTATACAATTATTATATTAGAATTAGCTGCATTTCTTTGAAAACAAGCAAATAGTTTTCAGTAATTAGAAGGTTTGCTGTCAGGCAAACAAAAGAAGATCATGCTTTATGTGGGTTAAAAAATGAAGGAGGGAAAAGTCTTGTTGGAATAAAACTACGATAAAATAAGAGAAGTTTTCCACTAATTTGGGAATAAAAGCTTTAATAAGAATCTGGGAAAGAGCTAGACATCTCGCTCCAGATGACCTGTGTAGTCCAGCTGGCTCGGCGCTCACCAGGCTGTCCTGCAGAGATCTGTTCGCCAGACCTCACTTGGCTCTAAAAACAGCTTTAAAAATTTAATATCAAGTGAGTAATTTACTGGAGGTCAGTGGGATGGCCCGAACTCTAGTCTGTTTGGTCATTTTACCTGATTCTGATTAGAACTCAACAATCTGTTGTTACTTCATCATAAAACCAACAGAAGGAATAAAAATGTGAAGTGTTTCTTTTTTGTTTATTATGGTCTGTGACATTTAACACCTAAAATATCAGATACTAGTCAGTTTAGATCAGTAAAAAGGATGAAAAATTAAAATGTGATTGAATGTGAAATTTTTGGGCCAATATCCAATATTAAGATCACTGTTATGGCCGATAACTGATATTTGCCGATACCGATTTACTGACATTAATGCTTCTAAAATTTGCAATTTTGTATAAAATGAAAATTATTAAAGCTGAATTTACATTATGTACACACACCACACACATTTCCGCTTCTCAAATGATTACAATCACTGTTTACATGACCAAACAATTACACATCATCATCCTCACCCTCTGAAACAGGCAAACAAATGGAGACAAGATGGAAAAAATATTGGTTGTTAATATCGGCCCAGTTTTATTTATCGAACCGATACCGATATGTTTAAAAAATGACTAACATTGGCCGATACCGATATTGATGCCGATATATTGTCCATCTCTAGATTTTAGTGTAATAATAGGGCTCCCATCAGGACTGTTAGTGCATCTTTATAATTAGGTATCCTGGACTGTACCTAAACATTTGTTCCTTTTGTGAAATGTGCCGTAAATCAAAAAGGCTCACATGTGTCTCTGGTTTCTGCTTATAACTTTTAATGGTTGCCCAATTAGCTGCCAGCTGTTTGAATGTACAGCAAATCCGACCACGGCTCAGATCTCTGTTCAGGGTGGCAAATCAAACCAAAGCAATCCAAAATGTTTCAACAAAGTCAAATATTTCACATTTTTCTGGCCTCACCGCTGCCTGAATGAAAATGTAATCTAAGTCCAGTGGGTTTCTTTTGCTTTGTTTTGACATCTCCTCGGTTTTATTGGATAAAACTCCACGACTCTCCCTGTTCCTCTAATTCATGAAGCGTCAAAGGGCTTAGACTGGATGATTTTCCCCCAATGACATGATGGGAAGGCTCACTGCCATGTTCCAGGCAGCATTCGGCAAATCTCACCCGTTGGCACGAAGAGGATTTTGCACACTTCCCAAATCCTGAAAGCAAATGTAGACGTGCACGTCCTCTGTGTATCTGCTTCTGCCATTGGATTTTGTTTAGATGTTGTTGTTTTCTGTTTGTTTGTTTAGTTTTTCTGTGCGAACACCACAGTTTGTGTTACAGACTTGTGGTTTTCTGTGGTGTTTTACTGAAGATGAATGAAAATGGAAAATTCGCATCAGGAACATTACTTTCTGATTATCACAGAGGTTGAGATGGTTTCTTATCTGAGGTCTTGATCCAGATTTTCCTTTTAAAGAAACAACTTATCTAGAACACGCAAAGCTGGATGTATGGATGGATGGATGGATGGATGATTGAGGGGTGGATTGATGGGTGGATGGATGGATGGATGGATGGATGGACGGATGGATGGGTGGGTGGATGGATGGATGGATGGATGGATGGGTGGATGGGTGGGTGGATGGATGATTGAAGGGTGGATGGATGGATGGATGGATGGATGGATGGATGATTGAAGAGTGGATGGATGGATGGATGGATGGATGGATGGGTGGATGGGTGGGTGGATGGATGGATGATTGTGGGGTGGATTGATGGGTGGATGGATGGATGGATGGATGGATGGATGGATGGACGGATGGATGGGTGGGTGGATGGATGGATGGATGGATGGATGGGTGGATGGGTGGGTGGATGGATGATTGAAGGGTGGATGGATGGATGGATGGATGATTGAAGAGTGGATGGATGGATGGATGGATGGATGGGTGGATGGGTGGGTGGATGGATGATTGAAGGGTGGATGGATGGATGGATGGATGATTGAAGAGTGGATGGATGGATGGATGGATGGGTGGGTGGGTGGATGGATGGATGGATGATTGAGGGGTGGATGGATGGATGGATGGGTGAGTGGGTGGGTGGATGGATGGATGGATGGATGATTGAGGGGTGGATGGATGGATGGGTGGGTGGATGGATGGATGGATGGATGATTGAGGGGTAGATGGATGGATGGATGGGTGGGTGGGTGGATGGATGGATGGATGGATGGATGGATGACTGAGGGGTGGATGGATGGATGGGTGGGTGGATGGATGGATGGATGGATGGATGGATGATTGAGGGGTGGATGGATGGATGGGTGGATGGGTGGGTGGATGGATGGATGGATGGATGATTGAGGGGGGGGGATTGATGGATGGATGGGTGGATGGATGGATGGATGGATGATTGAGGGGTGGATTGATGGATGGATGGATGGATGGATTGAGGGCTGGATAGGTGATAGATTTATCAGGTGATTTAATTTAAAAATGTGTGGCATTTTTTGGGTCTTGTCATCAATGTCACAAAGACAGATTCATTGAAGTACAGCTTTCTTGCATTTTCATCACTAATTGAAATAATTCTCATTTCCTCGTGTTTTTCTTTGCTGCCAACTTCAGAAGAAAGGGTGTTGGAGTCCATGTATGATGGCAGTGAGCTCTGAGGTCATTACAGAGCTGATCTACAAAGACAGGCCTGTAGTGACAGCAGCAGTAATGTGCTGATTGTCGCCGCCGCTCATCGTAACTGTCACGCCTGACTCATTTGCTGTGAAGTGAAGGTGGCGGCCGTCACTAAGATGAGGTCAGCTAATGATGGCAGGTGATGACCCCGTGCGTACCTCATCCTGCAGCTGTTCATGCATCACAACTTCTGCTCCTTTTTGAGCTAAAACCTCTAGTGCAGAGGTGTTTTTGCATTGCACAACCATTTAAAAGATTCTCACTCCCAAACCAGTAAACATCAGGACTTCCATTTCCCTGGTTTGTATTACCTGCAAGTATTTCTCACAAGTTTGGGGGAAGGAATTTTTTCCACCCGTCTTGTTGAACCAGAGCACAACACAGACTTCAGGTCCTGTGTGTTGTCTTTCCTACGGTCTGAGCTCTGATTTCCATCCCCTCCACATCAGGCTGAAGTTTACACTCTGTGGTGAGCAGAGCATTACCGTTGTGTGTTCACACATATCCTGAGGGCTGGTGGCTGAGAGCTCTGAGGGTTTAGCTCAGAACCAGGCAGAGGAGGACTTTAGGGCAAACTTAAAGAGCAGAAAACATG